AAACACACATTAAAATACCTTAAACTAAAAAATAGGAAATAACAAACCACTAGAAAGATGTAAAGAAACTGGAACTCCAATGCATCATTGGTGACACTATATTTTGAAGTTAACTCCTAATGCTGAACATAAAAATAATCCATGCCACTTTTCTGTGTATCATGAACAGGAGGGAACCAATTTGATCATAAAAGATAGTCACAATAAAGCCATAGTCCTGTTTTGGTAATATCCAAGAACTGGGAAGTTCCAAAATGTTCATCAAAGTCGGCAGCAATAAATAATGATACAGTCGCAAAATGAAATACTGTTCAACAATGAAAATCATGTGCAGGAATCTCATCGACCAAATGTTAGGCGGAAGACACAAAACTCTATGTAGAGTATAGTTTATTTTTATGTAATGTTCAAAAATTTGACAAAACTAATTTCAGAAGTTAGATTATAATTGCATGGAGAACGATTAGTGACTGGATACTGGGACATAAGATTGTGAGGGAGGCCTTTGGGGTGTTTATGATGTTGATTTAAGTGAGCTTTATGTAGGTAAGATCATTGTGTAAGATAGTCTCAAGGTATCCACTTAAGGTGTCTGTATTTATATACTACTTTAACCTTCAGCTATGTGTCCTAGTTATTGTGTTGGCACTGATTACCTGGGTCTGTTCACTGATAGAAAATATGTTAATCTGTGCATTTACAATCTGTGCATTGTAAATCATGAGATTTGCAAATTTTTCAGCATATCTAGTTAACTTTTTTAAAAGGCTTATATAAAATCTAAAGGAACAGTTGGTGCTTATATTGTTTGATCACTTTTGCATGTCTATATCTGGTAATCTAAGCAACTAATCGGAAGATAACAATATGCAATGTAATAACCATTGTTAATTTCCTATCATCTTGTTTTGAAATTCTGCATCATTTCTATTTTTCTCTTTAAAACAAAATAAAGTAAAATGAAATGGAAAATTAAACATATATACATTCTATCTCTAAGCTCAGACATGATCATAACCCTAGAAAATGAACAGGAAGAGAGTTTCTTTTCTATCAGGTAAGGGGGTACTTCTTACCCCATTTTTCCTGCAATCTTAACTCATCTTCATAATTTGCCCAAAATACATGATGGTTCTGAACTAATAAGGGAAGGAGCATGAGAGGAGACAAAAAGGAAAGGTAGTTTTTTTAATTTTGGAGAATTACATATTTGTTTACTTTTTAAATTGATATTTCCTTACCACCCTTAATCCTACCTTGTCAGTCCTCCTTGGGAGTTGTTACTAAAGCCACTTGGTCACTTGCTTTCTTTTGCTTTGATTCTGAATGTAAGAGAATAGTTTACACACACACACACACACACACACACACACACACACAATTTTCAGTGATGATGGCCAACAGAGACAGAGTAGATTATCAAGTAAACCAAGCCATCATTTGATGATTTCCTGGAACACACCGAGCAGTTTGTGAAGAGTTTATCAGACTCTCTCTGAAAAACTATACATATCATTGAATAACTGTAAACTACAAGTCGAGAAGCCAGAGGAATCAGGGTAGCAGCAAGCTTCTTTTAATCCTCACTTGAGTTCTTTTTACTAAATTTTTTTCCTAACTTTAAAATCTAAAAATGTAATGATTCCCTCGAGTGAAAAGATCTGTTTAAATCACCTCTTTATACGGGTACTGTGTTCACTATACTTATCCACTGTGGCACCAACTTTTCATTAAAGCTCTTTCAAAGTAAAGTGTATGTTTCAAAATAGGCAGAAAAAGTTTCATTTTTCCTATAATTTATAACTTCTTAGAAATTAAAGAGTCAATCACTAGCATTTATGTTTCCAACATGTTTGCTCTAGTTATGCTAGTCTGATTAGAACCTTACAAAAGACAGATTTGTGTCACATGCACATGTTTGTCTTGAGATTTTTATGATATACTTCAAATGTTAAAATATTTAATATTATTGCTATACATATACTCATTAAGACATTATTTTCTAAATGTTTAACAGTTAGAATTAGTATTTCAACTCAATCCTGGGTGTTGGTTTCATTAAATCTGCTATAATTTCCTTTCCTTAGAGTTTCATCCCAGGTTCTGGCCTTTATTTTATTAAATGTTCAATTTAAGTGCTTACCATGTTTCTCTTCATTAAATGTCCTAATGTATTTTGTTATGCAACTAGATTCTCACTTCACTGAAGTTTTGGAACTACTTATACACACATTTAAAAGAAAAAAAGTAATCATACACAACCACTTAACATAGTAAAAGATCAACTATAAATTTGCTCATTTATTTTATAAAACATTAAATTAAACAAGGATCAGAAAGCATAGTACTCCACATCAAAATGAGACCAACCTCTATCATTTTCTGGTGCCTCAGCCACTGTTGACATTTCTATTAATTTTTATTTTAAGCCCTCCCTTAACAAGAAATTCTACAAAACCAAATAGGCAACCATAAAAAGGACTCTTTCTCAATAACATCTTTCAGAAACAAAGATTTTTATTCTTTTCTGCCTGTGTCACCACAATACAAATCATTGAACAAAAGCAAACACAGCAAGACTAGAGAAAATCAAGTGAAGAAAAAAAAATATGTTAAAAACCAAAGAATCCAAGGTCATGTTGCTTTTTTTTTAGCTGATTCGTGAAAATAAAAAGTTGTGTGTATTAATGGCGTACTATATTTTTTTTTAAAATGGATTTGGTACATGGTACAGGTTCGCACTGCACAGCTCAGACTCATAGTGATCCTCCTGTTTTCAGCCTCCCCAGAGCTGAGATTACAGATTGCACCACCATACCCTGGTGTTGGTGGCCAGCTCAGCACTCCCAGATGCAGGGATGGTGCAGCATGTGGTGCCAGGTATCGAACCCCAGTCCCTGTGTTTGCCTAAGCAGGGGCTTAGTTCGCTGAGCTACCTTGCTGGCCCTAGAGTTTTAATAAGTGTCAATACTGCATAATATTTAAGCCCAAACATGTTATCTTCTCAAGCATTTGTCATTTCATATGTGTGTGTGTGTGTGTGTGTGTGTGTGTGTGTGTTTTGTGTGTGTGGCTGGCTCAGCCCACCCTAGGGGCAGGGCTGGCCCAGCATGTGGTGCCAGGGATGGAACCATGGTCCCTGCACCCACTTAAGCTTGCCTAAGCAGGTGCTTTAGACCACTGAGCTATCTCATCAGCCCGCATTTATCATTTCTTTATGGTGAAAATTTTCAAAATTTCAAAATTCTCTTCCAGATTTTTGAAACGTTCAGTACACTGTAGGTGACTAAACTCACTCTACTCATAACAACACATAAGAAATCCTTCCTTTGATTGCACAAGCCAGGGAAGTGCTTATTCCATTGAACCATCTTCCCAGGCCCTGAGAGGTTAGAAAGAAGAAAATGAATTAGCATCTTAGAAATGAGAGGCTTCTGGGAGCTGTCCAATGTACTGAATGAACTATTGTACCCGCACCCTTGCTTAATAGAAGCTGATGTTTTCAGGGGTTCTCCCTGGAACCTGGATGATGTTGTGCTCTTATTTCTAATCTAGTTCTTGTGACCCACTGTTGGAACTATTTTTTACCACATTTTTGTGAACTTTAAAAAAGTCTTCACACTGAATAATTAACTGTAGCTATCCACAAAAAAGAAAAATGAACTTTGTCTAAATTAGAGATAACATAAAATCGATATGTTTATTTTCATTATACCAAATTTTAAATCTTTTTTATTTCAAAAATCACTTAAATGAAGCCCAAAACTCCCTTAAACAGAATTAATAAAATATAATAGCTACTTTAAAATCCTATTATAGGATATCACAATGAATGAGGAAAATAAACCAAATGAGAGTGTTTTGATTTTTCTTTGTTTACAAATACTTGATGAACAATTATTTAAAATCTCAAATATTCCTCAGGAGAGAGTGAGAATAGCTACTCTCTGGCTTATTAAATATAAATGGTATTTTTTTTTTACTTTTTTTTTGCGTAACTGGGGATTGAACTCAGGCCCTTGTGCTTGACAGAGAAGCACTTATTCCATTGAGCCATCTCCCCAGCCCCTAAATGGTATTTTTTAAAAAGGAGAATGGAGTACTGACATTGGGCGAGAAGTGTTTGTTTGTTCCCAGTTCTGGAAATGTTGCATTCAATCCCAACTGGGGAAAATGTTTTGCTCTTTCTACCTTTTCTTGTTCTTCCATCGTAACATTTCCCCTGGAATAAAATGCTCTACGCGAATGGAAGATAAGGCAAGGAAAGGGAAAGTCAAGTGTCTCAATTGTTAGACTGATTGCATCCAAACAGACTGTAGAGAAGTCAGAGCTACTAACAAGCCAGGAGAGATGTTTGCCCAAGTGCTAGAAGGAGAAAGAAAGCTGGTTCCAACAGCGACCCTGGGGAATGTGCTCCGGGCCCCCCAGCCATGCTTACTTAGGCTAATAGAAGGTCTTCCCTTTCAGCAGCTGCTGCACTGGGATACCAGACAAACGGCTCCCCTCGACCCCTGGCAGGAAGGGCCCCTCTTCGGGACCTCATTCAAAGTGTGTGTCCCTGCTTCACATCCATTGGCAGTTGGTAGCAAGATTCGGGCTCATATCCTGGAACCAAGGAGAAGCCAATGCTGTGGAAAACATCCTTGCTTTAAGAATCCAAGTCTAAATTAAAGAACTACAAGAGATAAGAAGCCTGGAGAACATTAAAATTGACTGCAGGGGTGAGGACAGACACAAAAAGCTCAGCAGGTAAGAGCTGGGGGTTGTTGCCAAGAAGGAACTGTCCGGAGTGGACCAGTGAATGACCTGGGAGCTGGAAGCCAGACTGTGGGAGGCTTCCGTGTGGCCTCTACCTCCTGGTCACTCCTCGGCTTTGAGAACAGGGACGTCGCCAGAACCCTATCCACCGGCGCAACTAATCCTATTATCAGCTTGGTGACAAATATTAACGTCCCTGTCCCATCGGTGATGGTGCCCTGTCAGGTGGGATAAGACGCCTCATCAGCAGAGGCGGCCCTTCCTGCAAAAGTCGATGAGACACAGGGCCAAGCTGGAGCGATGGCGGCCTATCCGGAGAGCTGCGTGGACGCCACCGTGCTGGACTTCGTCGCGGACCTGTCCTTGGTCTCTCCGAGACACCCCCTTCTCTGCGACTTCCCGGCCGGGGTTCCCTTTGGGGAGCCGGCACTTGCGCTGCGTGAGAGAAGCCCCCGGAGGCTGGCGCGGTCGGAGGAGGGGGGCGCAGAAGAGGAGGAGGGCGAAGTAGACGAGGGGGACGAAGAGGAGGAGGAAGAGGGCGGGCGCGGGCGCGGAGCCTCCCTCCTGGGCCGCCCCAAGAGGAAAAGGGTGATCACCTACGCCCAGCGCCAGGCTGCCAACATCCGCGAGAGGAAGCGGATGTTCAACCTCAACGAGGCCTTCGACCAGCTGCGAAGGAAGGTGCCCACCTTCGCTTACGAGAAGAGGCTGTCGCGCATCGAGACCCTCCGCCTGGCCATCGTCTACATCTCCTTCATGACCGAGCTCCTGCAGAGCTGCGAGCAGAAGACCGCGGGCTGAGCTGGGCTGAGCTGGGCTGAGCTGGGCTGGCAGAGCCTGCAGCTCTCCTGGGGTTCGGGAGTGGGCGCAGGCCCGGGAGGGACGCCCTGGACAGGACATCTGGCCCTCTGCAGCTGGGGCTGGGGGTGTAAAGTTCTCCGAGTCCTGGAGAAGAACGTTCGGGCGAGCTGGGCGAGTTCGGAGTCAGGAAAGTCGCGTCCCGGCCGAGGCAGGCAAGAGGAGGAGCCGCTCTTCCCCTCCTCAAAGCTTAGAAGGCAGAATTCAGAGCGTCTAGAGCCCAATCACTCCGCCCTGCTTTTCTAAAAAATAGAAATAATGAAGTAGAAATTCTTAGGGATTCTTTTACACGGCAAGAGCCAGTGCTGAGCCATGCAGCCCAAGCTGTGCGTCCGGCCAGCGCCCCGGGAAAAGACGGAGAGGAGGAGGGGAGGATGCCGCGGAGGTCCCCCGGGCAGGGGCTGGAACTCTGCTTCCCTGGGAGGGTTGCCAGGGCCACGCAGGAGGAAATGGGTTAAGCGCAAGGTCCGGCCATCCGGGAAGCTGGCCACAAGCACACCTGTGAAAGGGTTCAAGCTCCCTGCTCTCCGGCCCTCTCCGGAGATCTCCTCCGCTCCCCTCCCGTCTCCTCCCTGCGCCTACTTTCCTGCTCCTTTCTCTCCCACCCCCTTCCTCACACTCCTTCCTGCCTTTACTACTTCCTTCCCTTTCCTGCTCCCCCTCTCTATGCCACCCCACCTCCCCAGCCCCCCTTTTTCTCCCTTCCCCCCCCACTATACCCCTTGGGGTGATCTGGGATAGGTTACGTGCGAGGCCACCCGAGGTGCCTCCTCTGGTTACCGAGTAGAAGGCTGCAGGGCCACCGTGGCTCCCATTCAGTGCCTTAGCCCAGCGCGCCTCGCTGCTTTGACCTTTCGCCCAGAACCACCAATTCTGCTTTTGTCCCTGCGTGGGCTCAGTGGGAGATAGGCGCTTCTGGTCGCCGAGCCCGGGACGCTGGGAGCCCGCGGGGCCTCGGGTGCCCGGCACCTTCCGAGCCTGCGACGGACCCCAGTTGCTCACGGGACGGTCCAGCTTTCCCAGCGCTCCTGCTCCAGGGCACACGTAGTAAAAGCTGATGGGGTAACTAGGGCAGGGCGCTTGCATTATAAGGGCATCTGGAGGCTCCAAGAGGAGGCAAAAAACATCAAAGAGGAGACTGCGGTCTAAGCCTTTTCTAAAATGCCTGCGTGTGCCTGAGGTGGAAGCCTGCAAATGCTCAGCTTCCGTCTCCAGTTTGGACCCTCGTTGGTCGCACAATTCTTTCCGAGTGACTTGCTAATGGCTGAACTTGGGTCCTTCAGAAAGGCGTGGGGGGGAGCCAATGTTAATAGTAAATTCAGTCATCTGCAGGATAAATCCCCAGCAGTCCTTGCACACTTGGCTGTCCCCTTTGTACACGAGCATGCAGCAGTACTAGGCACACACACAGCTCTACTTGTGACACTTTAATGGTACTTCATAAGATAGAATTCAGTTTAATAAGAACTAATATATTCTAAAAAGTTTGCAAAACAAAAGTTCATAAACTAAAATGTAAATCACTCCATACTACCTTACTGTTGACACTTGCATCGAATTCAACCTAGTCTTTTTTCATATGCAGTTCCATATTCACTGCATCTAAAAAATCTGGGATATTTTTAAATTCTAAGTTTTTTTTCACTTGACATTGTAAAATGGTATTCTCCCTTGCATTTCAACATAACTCAAATACGATTGTGATTATTATACTTTTATGGTCATACCGATGTATCACAAGTAAACATCAGTCCGATACAGGTGGATAGCTGAAATATTTCCTTTAAAAATAAATAATGCTACAAAGAACATTCCTATAAATGTTTACTCTGTTATAATTTCTTACCATATTCCTAAAATTGAAATTTCTGGGTGAAGTGAACATGAAAGCTTGTTAATACAAATGGCCAGACTTTCCTCTTGGTAGATCCTGCTGGATCATGTTTACCCCTTTAGTCTTAGAAGAATTTGGGGTTTTATCAGTGCTCAGAACATTCAGATTTTTTCCTGGTTCTCCTTTCCACAGACACTGAATTCTTCTAAAATAAAACTCCTTCCCCTAAAATTTTTTTCTTCCTTTATTTCCTTTGTCCCTGGATTTTCTTCTACCTCTGCCTTAAAAATGCCAAGATAAACAGGTAAGAAAAAGAAATGTAAAAAAAGAAAATAAAAAAAAAATGTAAACAGCTAAGACCAAACAAAAATAAACCAGGAAAGTATTTCTAATTTTCTAACATTTTTATTGCAATAAACTGGGACTTGGACAATGACCTCTACTTCTGTTTTATAAAATAAAACTACTCTCCTTCCTCTAAGAAACTTTCTAGATACCTGAATAACATGCTTCTATTTTAGAACACATTCTAAATTACTTTTACATGTAAAAGGAAACCGCTAATTATTTCTTAACTCAGCCTTGAACAGTATTCTGCTCCCCAACTCCTTGTAGGTTTTCAGTTCCCCCTGTTTACCTATTCATTCATTCAGTCAATGAAGTTTTAATTTTCTGCAAGTAGTATGTTGATGGATTTGGAAAGAGTTTAAGGAAAATCCCTTCCTTGGAGTCCTCCTAAAAATGATCATGTTTTTAAAATCTGCAAATGTTGAATAAAAAACATGGGTCTCAATTCTAAGAATTCCTAATATTTTGTTGAAAGAACCAGTTTTGAAAAATTGAAATAAAGTAAAACTATGTTGACCAGGGACCGTCAGCATCACTAGGTCCTGAAGAGCAGGTTCAGCCTTTCCTCACTCCTAGTCCTTTTCATCCTACTCTAGTCTGCTCTGTTACATCCATCATTCCTGTAGCACACGCCTCTCCAGCCTACTTCATAATGCTCCAACAACTTCTAGATGAAAAGGGATTTCTCCATCATTACTACAAGAATTATATCTATCATCCCGAAAACTGACACTTTCTATGACTTTTTGTTTTTTAAAGTTTTTACACGTCCCAAAATGTAAAGTCATCTAAGACATTTTCATAATGATTTTACCAGTAGAATAATGGGAAGCCTAGAGAAGATCACAGACACAGAAATGGATTCACTCATCCTTTATAGGAATCATCCATAAGCAGAACAAGAAAGTCCATATTGCATCCTACAATCCAAAGTACCATCGCATTTTGACCTTTCAACTTTTTTAAGTGTTTTTGTTAAATCCAAAACTTGTCTAGAATGCTACACCCCCTATGTTAAAATGGTTTTATTCTTTATTATTGCCTATTCACACTGATAGAAATATGGGTGGACACTGACTTTTTAATAATTCTCACCAGGGTTGTTAAAACTAATGGAGTCAATTATTTCTGGAAATTATAGTACTTGATTCCTGCATTGAAAATCTAAATAGCATCTCTTGGAGGCAATTTATTTATATGCTCCTTACTGACTGAAAACTGCCTTTTGCTCTCAAACTAAGTTCCCCATAACTATCAGATTACTATTAGTATTCAGAAATGTAAACCATGAGAAAACCTAAATGAAATCATATTTGAAAGACATAATTAACATTTCCAAGGAAAGTAAAAATAACACAAGCCTTGGTCATCTTTTATAGTCAGTTGCCCAGCACAAAGGCGAAGCTTTCCAATGCATTGCTGAAATGAAATACTCTGCTAGTCGGCAGAACTCCTGCATGAACACACAATTAAGAACTTTGGGTTGATGTTTAGTATCCCATTTGTCAGCATTTCCTTTATAAAAACACACTGTGGGAGACCTCTAACATGACTATAAAAATGATTAGATGAAATTTGATAAGAAAAATTTTAGGATACTTTTCTTTTTAATTACAAATGTGCAAGAGAAACTTTTAAAGAGGATGAAGCCACCAGCACATTTCACTTGTGCAGATCCAAAATTTTTATCACTTTAAAAATAAAAGAACCAAAAGAACCCATTTTATACTAGACGTGCATTGGATCAATTTTATTTTTGTCAAAAGGAGTTAGCAGATTAGTATTTTATATTCAGCAATCAACTTTTAAAAACTATGCTTCATTAAACTATATTTTAAGCAGTCTTTCAAAAGTGGTGAAGTTTTGCTATCTATCTATCTATCTATCTATCTATCTATCTATCTATCTATAACTTGGCTCAAGTCCTCTCAAAAGTTCCTGACTTTGACAACACTTTGGCTGAACTAAGACCACAGTTCTAGTCAGCCTCTTCTCTTCCTGTGAACACTGGACTAAAAACAGTTACAGAACAAGAGTCAGCAGTTCTGACCATTTTGTTTTTACTTTGGGGTTTCTTTGAATCTGAAGTTCAAAACCAAACCTGGCGGAGGACAAGGAGGGAAGGAAAGAAGCAATGCAAACTGACAGAAATAAAATACAAGAAAAATGGAAAATTCTCTCCAAGTCTCTTTAAATCAAACCCTACAAATTTCCACAGCTTTCTCTGTGACACCAAATTCATCACTCTGCTTATAATGCATTTCTTAGAAGAGTAAAAGAAAGTGTAAAGGATGAATATATTTTAGAACACTAGCACTTGGTAGAATCCTCCTTTGAATTTGGCTGAGAGCAAGGAAATTTTAACATGCATTGAAGTCAAGAATTTGATAAATATGACATGGTGGGAATGACCACGATAAAAAGGCTTGTTTGCTTAGCGCTTTATTGTTTTGAAAGCACTGTTTATACACTTTGGTCTTCACATTTGGATCTAGAATCTCTCAGTTAATTCAAATAGTACTGTACCATCTTAAACATTCCTTCACTTAGCCCTGAAACAGCATGCTGCTGCAACTCCTTAAGAGGACTGATCGCCACATATAAGTGCCATGGTACTTTGAAAGATACTGCCTTTAAAGATCAAAAGCACCTTCACACATTCTGTAGATGATAAATTATTCAAAAGGCTGGCATGGACTGGCCCCCTCAAAAGCTAAATTTTACAACATTCTATTTAGAGCTCTGTGAAGGAGATTTCCAC